TTGCATCGAGCCTCACATTCTCCTTGTAGCCTCACATTCGTGGTAACGTGGTTAAGAAGTTGCGTGGGCGTGTGAAATTCCTTGTGGTTACTATGGAATGTGAGGCTGGGCAATGTGGGGCTAGCTTCAGCTACGTACCCAGGAGGTGCAGCAGAGATATCTTCCATCTTGCCTTCAAGGTGTGGCTCGAAGGTGAAGGCGTGGCTTAAGCTCCTGGAAGCTCCTATTTGTATATAGGCTAGCAGGCTTGCTACTAGCAGCTCCTATTTGTATATAGGCTAGCAGCTCCTATTTGTATATAGCAGCTCCTGTTTATATATAGCAGCTCCTATTTGTATATAGCAGCTCCCATTTATATATAGCAGCTCCTATTTGCATAAAGCAGCTCCTATTTGTATATAGCAGCTCCTATTTGTATATAGCAGCTCCTATTTGTATATAGCAGCTCCTATTTGTATATGGCAGCTCCTATTGATATATAGCAGCTTCTATTTGTATATAGGAGCTCCCATTTATATATAGCAGTTCCTATTTGTACATAGCAGCTCCTATTTGTATATAGCAGCTCCCATTTATATATAGCAGCTCCTATTTGTATATAGCAGCTCCCATTTATATATAGCAGCTCCTATTTGTATATAGCAGCTCCTATTTGTATATAGGAGCTCCTATTTGTATATAGCAGCTCCTATTTGTATATAGCAGCTCCTATTTATATATAGCAGCTCCTATTTGTATATAGGAGCTCCTATTTATGAATTGGAGATGCGCTTTGCCGAAAAAAATTTCTCTTCTTAATAGATAGCTTATTGTCCCGTTTGGCGCCCCATAGAAACCAGCTCCTGATATACTCACACAGCTCACACTCACAGGCTCCTGTCATCGTCTTTGCGGCATTAGGCAGCTCAGTCATAGGTAAGTAGATATTACTCTTTAGTTGCATAATGTCTGTCATTGCATAATGATTCTGCTGAGTTTAATAAAATTGCCTGACATCAGTTGGGGTTCATAATTGGGTCACTGTATAAATACTACATCGTACCATTGGCACTTTCATTTTATGGTAATCCAAATAATAGTAATGTACGTTTAGATGATTGTTTAATAGTATTCATGAATTAATTACATTAATTTCTGAATCTTCAAACCCATTGCGGCATGAATTGCCATGCTTAATACAGAGTGGGGTCTATCTACATGCAGAAATCCTAATGACTTTTTATGAGATCCCTGGCAAACATCTCATTGTTTTGATCCCAGTACAGTAATTGTGATATTGCTTGGGTCTCATACAGTGTAACTGTACCTGTATCAGTATAGCTTTGCCTATAATCTTGTGCCTGTATGAAGTGAATTTTTAGCAGGGAAAAATATCTAGGCCTTGCCAATTAATGTTCATTGAGTAGCAAAAATTGAAAAATGTAAGTTTGTTTTTACAATGTTGTGATACACACATGTAGTTTGAGTTTTTGTATTGCATGTCTATCAGCAGTGCATAGGAATGTTATTAGAATTGTATTCCCATAGTACCTTGTCTATGGTAGTAATTATAATTGTAAACAAGATGAAGTTTTTTGCGTGTACATGAATTATCTCAGGCTTGATATACAATACACGTATGTCCTTGAGGTTCCACAGTTATCAATCATGTAGTCTAAACAGGGTTTCCCACAAAGTATGCTAAGTAAGCTAAACAGCATGAGCTTAATTTTGAGCCAACTAGCACCACAGTGCAGTACATGACATTTGCAATAACTTTAAAAATTTATTTAAAAATTTAATTTTGAATGGAATCAGCTCAAAGTTTCTACGCAACATAAGTACATGTATGTGTATCAGAAACATTGTAAAATTGATAAAATTCCCTCTTTGTATTTTTGATGAAATTTGGTGAATGTTGCTGTACATGTATGCATGTAATAGAGAAATTTGGAAGTACTGGACTCAAATTTCCCTTTGTACTATAAAACTACAAAATGTTTCGCTCAATTTTTGAGCAAATTTAAAAATTGATAAAATCTAAATTTTATCTCAATTGGTTCAAATTTTCTATGCAACATAAGTACATGTATATGCGTCAGAAAACATAATAAAAATTGAAGAATTCTCTCCTTGTCATTTTTGATTAAATTTGATCGGTGTCCCTGTATATAGTACAGGGTGTTTGGCTCAATTTTTGAGCAATTTGACAATCCATTGACAAGAACCTGTATCAGCACTATGCCAAATCTGTTGAGGAACCCTGACTCTAAGCATTATTGGCAATGTTATATTGGTTTATAATAAACAATTCTTCTCTTTCCCAATGCATGTATGCATTGTTAATAGGTATTGCATATTTCTGTCTCCTCATGTTTGTGTTCCTTGACTCCTGTCCTTGTGCATCTTTGTCTCTTTTCTCTCCAAAGCCTTTCTCTCCTCCTCATACACACGTACGCATATGTCTAACTTTTGCTCTTTCTCGTTCCTTTGCTAGGTCTCTCACATGTCTTCTCTCTTTCTTGTGTTAACACAGTTTTAGTATCAGTAAGCAACTGTAAAATACCATACACATACATTAATGTATACAAACATTGTTGTTATTATTATTATTATTTTATAGTACATTGGTATATTACAGACATTGTCACTTGCTGCAATGTGGGAACAGGAATACAAATAAAATGCTAAAGAAATTGTAACAGTAAGACACAATGCACACTATAGTGCTCTTGTGTACAGTGCATGTACTGAGAGTGAGAGGGAGTATAGTGTCTTATTGAATCTATGTACATTTGAT